CCGGTGTAGATCGTCTCGGGCTCGAGCGAGTACTTTGTCACGTGTGCGAGCAGCGGCTTCATCGTCTTCTCGCGAAAGTCGGACTCCATGTACGCCTTGAAGTTGTCGAGCGAGTCAAAGACGATCGCACCCTCGTAGGCCCACTCGGTCTTGCACACCGTGCGCACGACCTTCGTGAAGCCCTGGATTTCCTTCGCCGCCTGAGCCTCCTCGAGCGCCCTCTTGATTGCGAGGACCGCCTTGTCGGCCTTTGCGGCCTGGCTCTCGCCTGCGACGTGCATCCGAACGATGCGCGCGACCGAGTTGATCTCGACCGTGCACAGGCCGCGCCGTTGGAACGCCGGCAGCCCCAGGCGACGGATCATGTTGTCGGGCAGCGCCGAAAAATGTCCGTTTTCTCTCTTTCGTTGTAAAATTTCTCTCTCGAGGTTCTCGAGGTGGATGTGTGTGTGTGTGTGTGTGTGTGTGTGTGTGTGTGTGTGTGTGTGTGTGCGGCGGGCGGCTTGCTGCTCGCGGCGATGGCGAAAAACTCGTCTCGCCACACGCCAAGGGCTTATGCTCTGGCGAGACGTGAGGCGCATGCGCCCAGGAGGGGAGGGGGCATGTGTAACGACACTGCTAGAGATGCCTTTCGGGGCCCAGAGATAAAACTTCTGTGATGCCATGCGTGACCTAGTAGTGTCCCCAGCTATGGGCGTGTCCACGTTGGAGCCAGGTGTGGTGTGGGCGCGAGAATAGCTCCGCCGTTCATGGAGGCAACCGATGCGAGTCGACTGGTGTGTGTCGTCGTGGTTTCGTATCAAGAATACTCACTCGAGGTGGATATCCTTTGGCCGCGTTGGGTAGTGAGGATTGGTGTAACCCGAGCCACGGAGGCGTGTCACTCGCACGCCCGACGCCACATGAGTGATGAGAAGAACCCTCTCGCTGGGCGGACTTCGGTCTCTGTGTGTATAATACGTCTGCGAGTTGCTATGAGTCTTTGTGTGTTAATATGTGCAACACTCCCAA